CGCACGCACACACACACACACACACACACACACACACACACACACACACACACACACATCCTGTCAATAACCCTAGAAGCATAGTCCCAATTAAGACGGTATAACCAGTCCTACAGAGCTTCAATTTGCGTCTAGTGCGGCTGCTTCATTACAGCGTCTGCTTTCAGACAGCAGTCTGATCTTGGCATTTGGGGCACAAATTTACCTCTATTTGCCACGAGTACAACTCAGCCTGACACACACGAGCCTTCACTCTGTGGTTGTGAGTGTGCCACGCTAAAGCCTAAAAGCCTTTTTCTGCCGGCCAAATAGCAGCGGCAACAAATGAATGGCATGGCTGTAATTAATCTCCGCTATTGATTCAATAAAACCTTTCGGTGGGACCGGATGAGTGAATGTTATTTATTATTGCTCCTGTTTTCTCCATATAACTGCAAAATTGAGAGAAAAATCAAAAAGTTGCATCCATTATTGATCAAGGCTTTTACTAAAATTGCACAAATGATACATTGGAGCATAGGATGTTGTGTTGCACATAAGTGTAAATTTATGATGCTTGGTATGAAATGAGAACAACCCAACACATTTTGTGATGTATTGATGACTCACAATGATCATTCTTCCAACTTCCTCTTTAATTTCGCCGCATCTCTTAGAATGTTCTTTTCGGTGTGTTTATAATTGTGGCTGCAGTTGGAGAGGTGTCGAACTGCAATCAATCATATGAATAGGATTTTCCAAGTATTCCACTCGTGTTTCTGGTGATGAGCAGGAGACAGCATCGTTCTCCACTGCATGACGCAGCTACAAAAAAAGAAATTATAAAAATGTTTTCGACTGAACCGTCACCATGCAAGATGTCAGGCGAGACATCGGCAAATGTGCAAATGTAACTTTATTTGGTGCTAATTCTAAACAGGGAAGAGAAGGCCAATGTCAGATGAGAGAAGGATTCATATGCACAGCTAATAGCAATAAATTCAAAAGCAGCACATCTACAGTAGCTATAGGCTATTTGTAAGTTTTACGATGGAAGTTCTGAACAAATGAGGTTGGCCACCAAGCTTCCACTGAAGCAACTTTGAGTTCCAATCAATTTAAGCTACCGCCTTGATTTAACGGACCCGGACCCAATCCCGATTAGTTTGCGCCACTTTCTCCTAGTTTAGACAGAAGCGTGTGTGTGTGTCCGTATTAGCAGGGGAGCTGCACTTGGTGATATGAGGAGGTGGAGGCTCTCTGACACATCTGTCTCCTTGATGAGCCAAGTGTCAGAGCCCCCCAAAGAGCTGGATGGAGTGCATCAATAAACGACTTTAATCCCCACCTGGGGCCAATGTCCTCCCACTAATAAGGGATCGTCTTACACCGCTGGCAGTCAGGATCGAGGTAAAAGTGGCTTGGCACGGGTTCTGGCACGCAGGGCTCGGCAATGTACGTAGGGAACAGTCTGGACACCGGTAACAGGCTGAGAATCAGGCGGGCCTGCTGTTGCCTTAATTGCCGGACTGACTCTGTGTTTTGTTTCCCCTCCTCTCGCGCTGCCCTCCCTCTGATGCCCTCTGGTCTCTCCACTTTCTTTCTACTAAGTGTCACACTCATTCCACCACCTCCTCCGCTTTTGTTTTCCAGCCTCCTCGCCCCCCATCTCTCCATCCGAGCCTGCTTTCAGACACACAGTGAAGGCGAAATGGGAGGGATGGCGGCCGCAGCTCAGCAGTGGCGGCCGTGCTGAAGGACGTGTGGGTTGCTCGCGTCCGCGGGGAAGAGCCGATGAGTGTTCGAGTCAGAGTGACCCTAATTAACCACACATTATCTGCAGGCTGTGCGGTGGATTAAGGCCTTCAGCTGAGAAGACCCAAAGACAGACTTCATATCCTGCCTCAAAGCGAGAGGAAGAGGGGCGGGGTTGATGGGGTGAAAAGAAAGAAAGGGCCAAAGAAAAATCGGGATGCTTGAAGCTTATCTGTTGATTAGAACCTCCCATTAACACGCAAGTCAACATCTCAAATCCACGCCAATCAATGTGTGAAGGAGAGACTGCCACACTATCGGGTGAAGTCATTTTTGTTTCCCCTCGAAGCCAAAGACATCAAATAGCTTAGCCTGTCATCGGAGAAACAGGTCCCTCCCTCACGCACAGGTGCGGAAGTTTCAGTAGGAGGAGGATCATTATTCCGTCGCGAGATAATGAGCACCCTTTCTCGTTTGACATTGGAAATCCCCCCGAAATGAGCACTCGAGCGTGTTGACAGGCCGTCCTAAACATGAAGCACTGCTGCATTAAACCGGAGTCTATTGTCAACAAGGCAATTCAATCTGAGAACAACACAAAGCCCTCATTGACGCAGCACAAAGCGCGGCAGCCTCAAGCAGGCGGCGCCTGCGATTTGGGAAAGGAAAACATTTTAGCGGCAGATGTGACATACCTCATTTCCCAAGACAGACGAGCCACTATCAACATGATTAAACAGAAGATTAACTGACACAAACCAGCCAACTGTTCCAAGTACCAAAAGATTATTGCTCATGAGACACCATTTCTTCAAGTGCTATGTGTTAATACAAGCTGCTGATTGATTTGTACTGATTTACATAACGTGGCACTACCGTACACTGTGCAGCGTTATCACTTCGAGCATTACAAGGCTCTTAGAGAGTATTACGTCCGATCCTCTGCTTACCCTTCTGAGCCACTGCAACATTTATTGTGCCTTGTCACTGTTCACCGTCACAAGCGGGGCTCCGGCAGCAGTCCATATTCTGCCACCCGGTATACATTTTATCCTAATGTACCCGCAAAAGACTGCTTTCCTGATACACTCCGACTGGGCCATTCGTCCTGTGCCGTGCCAACGTACGGTCGCGCCATTTAGCCATGCCGAGGAATGTTACATCCATCTACGACTGTTGTACTGAGCTTTCATCGGAGTTCTCAATGAGAACATTCTATTCATCGAGCCAGTGAGGCCTTTTCTGTGGCCCTAATAATTATTTTTACAAAGGTAGAGTGTTCAACAAATGTATTAGATCAGTGCTTGGCAACCACCCAGTCACAGACCGCTGACGGTTTGGTACCAGGCTGCACAGAGTGAACAAAGACTATTTGACGAATGTTCTGGTTCTGGTTTTATTTTTTTAAAAATGCTGTTGTAGACCACCACTCAATTTAAGTGGTAGCCCCTAACTCAACAGCTGTGCTAAATATCAAAATGATGCACCGGTATGCAGAAATTCTTGAACTGAAATTATTTTGGAAGTGTAAATGAGGAATTATTTTTGTTATCCATGAATTCCCACAATTAGTGTCAAATGTCAAATGGAGTTCCTCATTTGTATCCCTGAACAGAAAGATGTCTTTCAGTGGTTTAGTGTTCATTTTTTTTCAATAAAAATGTCTTGAATTCTGACATTCAGTTTGAAAATCCTCTTTGGTGTTCTAGATAGTAAAACATCTGGAGAAAGAGGCCACATTAATAAAGCGTTACGTTTCTGTCTGGTTACATTTGGTTTTGTTCCCTCACATGCCCTTTTTTGTTGCCACATGTTCTCGTTATCCGTGTCCCTTGTGGTTAACCAGTCAGCGCCCTCAACCCTTTGTGTCTAGTCCAGGTGTTTCTCGTTGTCTCGTCACTTTGCTTGTATTCAGTTCTGTCAGTCTTTGTTGGGTCATTGTGAGTGTCAGTATATGTGTGCTCCTGTCATGTTTTGTTTCCTGTCATAGTTTTGTTGGTTACTTTGGTTCCTTGTGATTTCCAGGCATTTGTACTTTGACTGAGTGTTTTTCCATTGTACTCCTCTGTATTTTTGTTAAATACATTTTGGTCAATCCACCCTGCTCCTCCCTGCTTTTTGGGGACCTACCATCATCGCCACGCAAAACTTGACAACAAGGTGGCTAATACATTTGCTCAGCACTGGATGTCGCCAAGATGTCAAGTCAAATGTCAAGGGTGTAATGACCACAGCGACGAGACGGTTTGCCTTTCGGGGTGTGTGTGTGTGTGGGGGGGGGTTGTGCAGTGTACTTCACGGCTGCCTCTTACCTCGGTCTGTGTCGTAGAGGTAGACAAACTTCTGCCACTTGTAGTGCGAGATCAGACTGAGGACTGCTCCTCGGAGCGCAGGACGCATCTGGATGACAAACTGCACCTCGTTGTCGGTGGGATAACTGGGTGTGACGAAGGAGGTGTGCAGAGCTCCGCAGAATGACGTCAAGGTGTTCATGGACTTTTTGTCGTAGAATCCAAAGATGGCGTACACTCCGCGGGAGAATTGGGAACAAACTGCAAGAGAGCCGAGAGGTGCCGGGGCACGAGAAGGTTAGGGCTTGTGTCGGCAAAATGAGCATATGCACGTTTAAAAACTTGCGCCTCATCACTTCAGGCACTAAACGATCGATTGGGTTATTTGAATCTCCACTAATAGCCAATTAAAGCTTGATGTGATTGCTAGTGCTCCTCCGTACACTTGATACGCCTTGACAGCAGATCCTGGCTAACACAGTACACATTTACATATCGTGTTACTCAGATAGGCCGAATCTTTCTGCGCAGATTCGTCTTCTGATTTTTATGGAACACTTTATTGCTTTTAGAGTTAAGATCTTGTATATTGTGTATTACTTGCGTCAGGGATTTTTCTTAGGTCAGTTCTGTAAGAAAAAAATTAACAAAAAGTGTATAGCTAAAAAAAAAACATTGTCATTCTTTTATGACTATAAAAGAAACCAGAAACCATTCTGAAGTTAAACTGCGATATGTTTTTCCCCAAGTTAAAAAAAAAAAAAAAAAAAACACGTTAAAAGAGCCACTTTTTAGAAACAACCTTTAAAAAAAATTAATCCAACGGGACATAAGAAAGTCAAATGTCACTCTGATGAGTGCGGAGCTCTGCCAAAGCCAAATCATTCTAATTTGGATCACAATTTCCATATGACAGAAACACAATTTCTGCATGTCCGAATTCTTCCATTGCGATTCATGAATTATTCATGGTGAAAAATGCCAAGCATCATACATTACATCTTTTAACAAAAGCAAAAACAGTTCCTGACTCATTTTATCCACACTTTCTCTCATGAAAGTAGTATGTGTGTGACCAACTGCAATACAGAAACGACAAACTCACACTCAACAAACATTTCGTACAGTTGATAAAAATAGATGCCGATTGTTAAAGTAAACACAACATAAAACGGCAATTCATTTATGTTGCTTGAATTGTATTCAAAAGGGAAAATCCAGGGTTCAGCTTTGGTGAGGACATTTTCACAAATTCGCTCTGTCAGGTTTCAGATGAGATAAGATGATATCAACTTTATTAGTCTCACCATACCCATTTTTTTTCAATTTCATTGTAAATACTCAGCAGGCTATTAATTGTAAACATCCAACTAATTTAGATTTTTTTAAACTAGTGCTGTTGGAATTGATGCACATACCTTATTATCAAGTGGAAAATTGGTCATGCAATCCAAAAAATTAGTGAAAGTAAATGCTTAAATCTGGAACCCCAGAACACTTCTCTGGATTCATTGTTTTTTTTTTTGCACTGATTTTGACTCTTTTTTTTTTTCTAGCACATCGGGTTTTAAAAATAATCCTAATAATTTCATCACAACCACATAATATGATGATGATGATGATGATGATGAATTAAAGGTTAGGTTCAGCAATAAGTTGAATTCTTTCTGATACATCATAGCTAGCTATAAATTACAATGCATGGTAAAATCCCTATTGCGCAAGCTTTTATCAGTCAAACTTATAAACAAACAAAAACAAAGAAAATATCTCAAAAATGCGGAAAAAAAATAGATATTTTATTAGCGTCAAAAATACTTTTAAAGACACATAAAGCCATCTCTGATTGAAATTTGCTGTTGACCAGTGCAATTTATCGTTATGAAGGGCCACTGGCAACGTTTGTCAATGGGGGTATATTATGCTTCCCGATGAAACATATCATGGAAGACATAGAAAATGTAAACATCATTACTGTATATTACCAACTAGCCAGGAAGGGCCCCTCAGCCACCATTTTTGACAGGAGGTGGGTGTGTTAGCAAAACATTTTTCTAACGACAGTGTTGACCGTGGAGGTTGGGGATTCATATGGGTCCTGAAAAAACAGACAAACAAACAAAAAAACAAACAAAAAAAAAACCAGTAGGCCAACTTTAAATTTCAAACGGAAGAGAAGAAAGCACAGCTCCACCATGTGCAAGAAACTACTCCCTGCTGCCCCCTGCCACTGTTGTGTTCCTTTCTGCAGCCTTCTACGAAAGTCTTTTTCGTAATGTTATTTATTTTTTTGCTTCGAGGGAGTGCAGAACTGTTTTGCTAATGACCTCGTGTGCTGCATTCGTGGCAACCTTTGATCTGTTTTCACTGTAACGAACCCAGAGCTCCTTAAGGGGGGGAACATGTGAGCGTGAGCTTGGTGACACATCCACGTTTGCCGGTGCATTCATCATGCACTCCAGCGGGTGGTGAATGTGCACAACGGTCAGGCAGAGAAGTTTCCATTACATCTGAAATCTGGTCCTTGTCCTTCCCAGCTACAGGTGTGCTTTCCTAACCTATCATCAACTGCTGCTCGCTTACTCTGATTTAATCTCAAGTGCTCCCACTGGGTAATGAAGCATCCGTCGCAGCTGGAAACACTTTGAATATTTCACTGCAACGGTCGAATGTTGGGAAAGGATCGTTACATCGTGTCACATTAAAACGACTGGTTTAAGCATTGGTGCCTGATTGTGCCGCCCTTATCCGTTCAAGTTGTACTTCCAACGGCACTCGGTCTAAAAATTGCTTTTTTGACTGAGATGAGTCGGCCCGAATGGGAATCGGTCCATCTCAGCGCTCTTGTGTTTTCTACCGGCATTGCAATTAAGACTGAACAATGAATCAAATTCAAATCAACACTGCAATCGGGGTTCCTACAGTTAAAATGAAAGAATTTTAATTCTATTCAAAATCAAATTTAAGATGAACTTCACAATGCGGGGCGACTGTCCTGACTCAACCTTGAAAACAGTGATGTGGTTTACATCAATGTTTTCAAGGTTCCTCTGTTGAGATTGCGTGACGTTACCACAAGAGTCACTCACAATTTTTTTATAAGAATAATAAGACAAGATAAGATAAGATAAGATAAGATAAGAAGAAAACCTTTGTCTCACAGTTGAGAAATTCCCAATTTACAACAGCGAAATTATGATTAATATCTTAACAACTTAATATTTCATAACTTTTGTGACTTGAGATCATTTATAGTCATAAAACCCATTGTGAATTGATAAACTGAGTGCATCTTAACACACGACCGTGATATTGAGGAATATAATTGCAGTTAGATTGCTTTTTAAAAATCCTTCAGTCTTAACTGCAACACCTCTTTAAATGATATTAAGCGTTGTTGTGCCTTAGTGTCAACACGCGACGCGCTGATACTCAGGCAAACACGACCAAGCTCACATATTGAGCTCTTCAGCGCAATGACTTGTGAATGAGAGAACTAGTTAGCGGCCGGATTTGCGTCATCCTCTCTAATTCCCTTCCCCGCCTATCTGTCCCGCTGCAGACGCCCAAGGTGCGACACCTTCAGCAACACGCGCGGAAGCGCAACTACTGTAAGCGAATCAACAGCTGGACAGCAGTATTGTCACAAATAGCTGCTGTTTTCTTCTCCAGTGAATGGGAGCCAGCGGTTTCCTCGGCTCCCTCTTAATTTAGGCCAGTTCTGACACAGAACATGTCCTCAGGGACCGGGTCTGGCGGCATCTTTTTCTGCCCCGATCCAGCTGTCCTCTGCTTATTAGGTTCAGCTTTGAGTGAGGCTGATTTTCAATAACAGATTGTGGATGTGTTATGGCACTGCACCCACTTTTCAGTGTCACAGTCTTATTGTAGTGGAAGGGTTTGTGATCCCATGAGCAATAGTGTGGTGAACAATGTTCGGAGATGTGCTCACACTCTGGCAAGGTTTTAAGGGAGTGAGAAATGAGTACTTCAGTTTTGAGGGCGCGCGTGTGCGCGCGCACACACACACACACACACACACTAGCTAGTTGCACTGCTCAGATTTAGTTGAATCCTAAAATACTGCCTATTTTAGCTGTTGAAAATGTGTGTTATGTCACTTTCGAAAATGATGAACACAAAAATCTTGGTTTTCCTTCAAGGCCACATGATTTTTGAGTACTGTACACGTTCACACATTGTGGGGACAATTTTTGGGCCTAGGGCAAATCTAGCACAAAGCAAAGTCTGACAGTGCGCATAGAGGTTTTTTTTTTTCTTTTCCTCGACAGCCGCAGGTCGTAGGGGGTGTTTGCGTCATTGTGGGATTGAACGCAGGAGGTTTTTTTTTTTCTTTTCCTCGACAGCCGCAGGTCGTAGGGGGTGTTTGCGTCATTGTGGGATTGAACGCAGGTGACTTTCTCTCAATTGGAGCAGCTTGCCTCATTCACTTTAAATTCAGCACAGAGAGAGCGGTGCGGTTCACATGGCATGTCGTCCATTTAAGTTGGGTGGTGTGGATGGGCACTGAGAGACCGCTCCTTCCAACCCCGATCAGGCAAATCATATGAAAACACATGTCTCCCAAAGTACTGACCCCACGGTCATTTCTGCTTGGACATCAGGGGCACCCGGACAGGTTAGCAAATTTAAAAAGTCACTGGAATGTTTGTGGCATTATTTCCTGATTGTAATGACTGAAAACTGCAGTAGTTGTGCCTGCAGGTTTGATTCTGGCTGGTGCCCCGATACCCAACCATTGCAAGTCACAGGCCCCAATAAAAATTGGTGGGGATGGGGGGGTCAGAATGAAAATAAATCAATAAATAAAAGTGTTCGATAAGTTCTAAATCCATGACATGCAGTTCAAGTAATGCAAATTGCACACTTTAAGCCAGTGAACTATTTTTTTAAACAAATACAAATGGGCTGTTAGATTAAATGAGGGCATATACTGCTCATCCATCTTCAACCCAATTCGCCAGTTTATAATCGATGACCAAAATAATCAGTAGCAAACAGCTGCACTGCACACCTGCTTTGTCGACATGAACTATGCTAAACTTGCACGCCCTCCACCTAAACATCATTTGTGACATATAGCGAAAGAAGGCTTCACCACTGCTACAAATGGACTTCAACCACTGTTAGTGTAGCACGACATACAATTAATGGAAGCCGTGTTATTGATTTTCAATGAAGCTGGCGTGTGCACAAACCTTTCGTTTTCTAACTCGTATCCACTAACAAGCTCCAACACA